AAGAGAAAAATTAAAAAAGAAAGAAGAGAAAAACTGGACACATATTTCTTAAAGAGCGTGTTTAATTCTGTGTTTTTTTTCTGTTTTTTTTATATCTATTTATGAATAATCACCAAGTATTTAGTTATCACCTTACATACAGGGTACAAATGGTGTATTATTATTATTATTATTACTATTATTATTATTGTTATTATTATTATTATTATTATTATTATTATTATTATTATTATTATTATTATTATTATGAATCTATGTTAAATGTCCAACTTGAATCGTGATGGAACATTCATTGTTTTGTTTCACTTTATTCTTTTTTTTTCGTTATTTGTTTACGAATATAACTATGTCATTTGTTTATAATGACATCACATACTTTTATACAAATTTTTATATGTAAATTCTTAAGAATGTTTATAATTACTTATATCAGTCAATTAGTCAATAATGTATAACTCCATACGTACGTACATCAGTTCGGGTTGCCATACAAAATATATATATATATGTATATTATTGATTGAGATTATAAACCGATTGATGTTAGATCACTAATGAAAACTTGAAAGCACTGAATAGCCGTTTCATTCTATTGTGGGACTTGTCAACAATGTGCATCCATGATTCCGCTCGTGGGATTCGAATTTTGGACCTTCACAATGTTTCTTTATTATTCTTGGCTCCTCTTACCATTCATGAATAATCTTCATAACCTAATACTGATAAAAACCATGTGCTTGTTAGTGAATAGCTTCGTGATTGAATTCTAGGAGTTCTAGTGAGAAACCATGACCAGTGGAGTTCAACCGTGTCAGGTAGAAACATGTATCTACCTTAGTACAATGGAAGATGGTTGCGCAATTCTGTGGACTGGTTGAAGTATGACATTACCATTGTTGGATGTGGTTTAGAGGTTAAGTGTTCGCGCACGTGACTGAAGGCCCTGGGTTTGAACCCCGCGGGCGGGATCGTTGATGTGCACTGTTGAGCAGACCCATAGTAGGACAAAACAGCCATTTAGTGTTTCTAGATTTCCTATAGTGGTCAAACATTAATCGGTTTATAATCTGAATAAAAACTTAGTAATCTGCACAACCCTATACTGATAAAAATGCATTATTGTTTTAAATATATAGATTTTATCAGAAATTAAAATTTTTATTAAATACACTGGGAAAACATCTTTACAATACCATATAAGTTATAATAATATACCCTTGTGGATTAGGGTAATTTAACATTGATTTTCAGTAAAACCAGACATCATCTAGATCTTCATGTGATAACCCAAACAGTACACAGTTAAATCATGTTTAACAAGAGAACCAGACAGGTGAGATCGTGGGAATGTGCACTGTTGAGAAGTCCCATATTAGGACGAAATATCCGTTCAGTGCTTTTAGGTTTTTCATGATAGTCTTACTAGGATTGATCAATGAATTTAACTATTAAATTACTATGATCTCCATAAAACCTACTTTCTGACAATACAAGTTAACAATTTCATTCAATTAAATGATATGAGATAACTCGATTCCGTATGAGATTGTATACACTTAGTACTAAGGAATACTTACTACATAAGGAGCATTTATTTGAAATAGTATAATTCATCATTAGAAATATAACTACCTTGTGTATTCTATGATCCCTTTAACTTTTAAAGTATTTCAATAAATGAACAATAATTTGTAGTTAACTAATGAATCATTTTGATAACAGAATATAATTAATAAAACAATGATGATTGTTTTTGTTTGAGATCATGAACCGATTGATGTTAGATCACCATTGAAAACCTAGAAACACTAGACGACCGTTTCGTTCAATTGTGAGTCTCCTCATCAATTATCAATTACTACTGGGGATAATTAGAATCTTAATTATGAAATTGTGAACCCTAAAAAATATGGATAATAATAACGTATTGAAAGAATACTTGTCATGTACATATGTAAAATCTAAACTTTTTGAAAACAAATGTTTAAATGATGAATTAGTTTCTATGCTAGAAACTAAGAACAACAACAACAAGAAAGAAAAAAAAATCAATTATAGAATGATCTCTTGTATTCAATAGCGCTCTAAAACTCATTTCTTATTAAGAACAGAATGAATTCATTGTAGTATGTTACTATCAATGATATACGAATGAATAAGTTTGGTTATTTTAATATCAAGGTGGAAAGAATAAGAAGAGAATGCATTTACGAGTTTGATTTTTTATAAAATGCTAGAAGTGACAGTAACAGAATGTTTTAAGATAATTTTCGTTACATTGGATGACGCTCCCGGTCTCCCACATTGTATGAGCATTCCATGTACCAAAATTATTGGTTGCTCTGGTTTTCAGAGGGGGGCATCAGCCTTGTGACCTCCGAAAGAACTCGGCTTTCAACATGAGTCGTTATAACTCTTCTAAATGAAGATCTCTTAACTCCCAAGGACAGAGTTTAATTGAATTATTTATATCGGTTAGTGTTTTCTTAGTGAGTTAGTTTTCTACGGGATAAAGTGGCTAAATTCATGCCCCACTCTTCTCCTTTATCTGGGCTTGGGGCTGAAAATGGCCCCACAGGGGCCCCATGCGAAACCCCTAGTTGAATTTTAAAAGTTTTAGCAACAAAGATATGTGAGCTGCATTTGATGCATTGTCACCACAATCAATTGAATAATAAAATTAAGAAGAGGTTAGAATTCACTGGTTACCAAAGCAGATAAGTGTTAAGCATTGTGAATTATTGTGAATACAAAGGTCATGTTTTAGCCTTCATAAATCTTGATAATGTAGAATTAACTTTTTTGTTGATTATTTTGAATGCATTCATTACATACACCTTACTTCTTAGATCATGTCGTGTAATAGAATGAGTTCAGTTCATACGTCCTTTCTTATCAAACGTTTTAGATTTTCATTACACTAAGTAATGAGACTTATCTTTTAGAACTTTCATTTTTCGGATCAAGAATCAGATTGAAAGGAGACACAATTAAAACATATATGCAAATAATAACAGATAATAACAGATAACAAATAATAACAGTAAGCAATCAGGATCGAATTCAACAAGACAAGTTGTTAGCCATATAAGAAGAAAATCAGAATACTTCACTTCTACCTGACATTTGTGCTGATGATGTTATTCGGAAGAACAATGAAGGCTCCACAACTAAACTATCCAACATAAAGAATGAAACTCCACTAAAATCATTCACTTGAGTAACATATCCCTACCATTTGAACATTTACATTCTATACACTGTATATTTTATTATCAGAAGAGGTTTTTGTGGATATTATAGTAATTTCAATAGTTGAGATCATGAGTCAATTGTAACTATGCCGCCACTGAGAACCTAGAAGCACTGAACGACCGTTTCGTCCCAATATGGGACTCCTCAACGGTGCGCATCCACGATTCCACCTCGCGAGATTCGAACACAAGACCTATCGGTCTCGTGCACGAACGCTTAACCTCTAGATCACCGAGCCGGCATCCAACGCTGTTATTGTCTAACTTCAACTAATCCACGTAATTGAGCGACATACACCATCTCACAATAGACGTGGTTGAACTTCACTGGTCACTGCTTCTCGCTAGAATTCCATGAAATACCTCTTGAAGGTTTTTCATGGTGGTCTAGCTTCAATTGACTCATGATTTCAACTATTTAAATTACTATAATTTCCACAAAACTCCTTATGATAACTTAAATTTATCAAAGGAACCAACTTCATAGAAGTGGATTAATAGATGTTATTTAACAAAATTATTATTTGTGTATCAATTTAAATATTTCGAATTTTCTTTTATAAAATACATAGTTTATATGACATCATCAAACTGAAAAACATTAACCAGTCAGTCAGTCATTCAGCTACAACGTGGGAACAGGCATATACATACATATATAACACTGAATAGTACATTATATAGAATTGTCTAAAATTGTAGAGTATTAATAATGTCAATGAATTTTATTCTATTAGAAACACAAATGATGTTGTCTAATCAAAGAGATGATAAAGTAGTTATGGAGTGATTAAAGATATTAGACTCTCAACTAATAAGTTGTAAGTTCGAACCCTGGTCTATTCATTAACCCTTGTGTAAACAATATGGTTGAAAAACACTAACATGCAACCTATACTATGTATATGAAGAGAATATATATATATGTATTTTGAACACTGGTTTAGTGGACTGTTTAGAATTGAATTGCATCAACTATAATATATATGCATTGGGCGTGTCAATATCCAACTATCCTAAATAATCTATTATTAATGAAATAAGTCATTGAAAGTCTATAGACATTTATTTGCACTTAATTGTATTGCACTTCTAAATAGATATTTTGTATTGTTAGTTATGTAAATGTGTTAAATACATATGTACAATATAGAAGAGAAAAATATTGTTTTCAATTAGATCTACATCAGACTTTATTATACAGTTAGTTATAAATCATTCGATTTGCGTGCGGGCTGGGATACTGTCCGAATGCTCAAACCAAAGCAGGTGGTTTTCTTAGAAGGGCCACACCCAGAGCCTTCGACCTGAAGGTCTGGTCCACAAGGCAGTGGAGCATCGTGAGGAGATGCAGTCACATGGTAGTCGATGAACAACGATTAGTTCATACGCCATTTGTTCCCTCAGGATACTGGAGCCCATGTGCACCGTTGGTTCGGAATCCGGTTAAAGCGCTGGACATTCGCTTTTCATCCTCTCATTTTCGTAAACAACACCCCCGCCACGGTAAGGCAGTGAGTAGGACTTCCCTCGCAGAGGCTGTATATGCGTGGCCGTGTGAGAGCATTTCGAGAGGGAGAGCGGACTATCCCCACTCTCGGTCGTACCAAGGCATTTAGGAGCGATAGGGTTTAATAGAGAATATTAGTGGATAACTTATCCTCCACCACAAGGATTAACAGGGATAAGTAAGTATCAGAGTGGAACATCTTTTACACCAAAAAAAAAAATTATTATTATACTTACCTAAAATATTTTTTAATTTTTGTTTCATTTCTTGAAATGTTTTTGATTCATTACATGCAATAATACCATCATTGAATAATTGTGTAAGTAATTGACATGTATGTGGATTTGGAAAAAGTATTTCATTATTTAATTGATCACATTGAAAATTAACAGGTTCAGCTAATGGAAACAACAACAAAAGAGTGGTATCTCACTAAATTATTTCTATATACTTAATGATAGAATATCATCATCATCAAAACATCAACTTGTATGACCTTGTCTCAGTGCTAAATCAATAATGCATCAAACAGTACTAGCAATCTCGAGTCAACTCTGAGTTCTCAGCAGTCCTCTATATGACAACTTCTCAACTATTCCCAATCCCACAAGTTGAAATCATGAGTCAATTGAAGCTAGACCACCATGGAGTTCTGATGAGAAGCCGTTACCAGTGGAGTTCAACCAGGTTTGTTGTGAGATATCAGCTCACTGAAGACAATGGTGTACGGTAGCGCAACTTCGTGGATTGGTTGAGGTTAGATATTAAAACCGTTGGATGCCGATCGGCTCAGTGACCTAGTGATTAAGTGCTGGCGTGCGAAACAAGTAGGTCCTGGGTTCGAATCCCGCGAGGTGCGGGATCGTGGATGCGCAGTGCTGAGGAGTCTCGTACCAGGACGAAACGGCCGTCCAGTGCTTCCAGGTTTTCCATGGTGGTCTAGCTTCAATTGACTCATGATTTCAACTTGTGAAATTTCTTAATTTATTCCCAATCTATTAGTTACAATCGTCTATACTCACAACTACGTTTGACTTAATCTTGTATCATTATTATTTTTCATTTTTTGGTGTGTTGCGGTCTAATCTACATGTATATCAACTACATATATACGATTCATACAGCGGATGCTGTGAGAAAGTGTTTGACTTTGTGGATAGAAGTACATTATTGAACCTTCTACATTCGAAAGCCTGACAAGCAAATCCTGTCAAGGGATCTTTGTACAGAAGTATGTCTTGGGGGTTTATGTAAAAATATCAACGTTAAATTCCCAAAAGAGCTATTAAATCATCCAGTATGTGTAAGTGCAGTTTCTGTATTGCAGAGCCTATAACTTTATGAAATAAAATGTGTAAACTTTTTCAAGTCTGTACTGAAGTACAATCTCTAATTAGTTTAACAAGTGAACTCCTCAGCAGCGCGCATCCACGACCCCGCACTCCGCGGGATTCGAACCGACGACCTACTGGTTTCGCGCGCGAGCACTTCACCATTAGAACACTGAGCCGGTATCCAACGGTGTTAATGTCTATCCTCAACCAATCCACTAAGTTTCGCCACCGTACACCATTGTCTTCAGTAAGTTCCTACCTCACAACAGACCTGGTTAGACTCCATTGGTAACGGCTTCTCACTAGAACTCCAGGAGTGTCTCTTGAAGTCAGTCAGTAGTGAGCAGGTGATAAATTAAGAATCGTATAACAGTGGTCAAGAAGTCAAATCAAAGATTGTGAAAAAAAAGAACATGAATATATGTGTAGATTAGTTATTTATTTTGTATAAATCCTACTTACTTAATGATATATTATCACCATATAAACCAGCCATAACACAACGTAATGATTTAATAGTTCTAGCAATGAAAGTAGTTCTTAAACTTTAAAAGAAAAGAACAATATTATCATTATGAGTAATATGAATAAACCTACTGAAATTGAGATGGTTGAAATTGATATGAAATAAAATTATAATTGTCTTTATATTGGTTTTTTAAACGTATACCTAAATTATATGCATCTTGTTGACCAGTTTTAGTTAATTCACCAACTTTATTACCACCCTAAAAATAAAAATTTTATATTATAATAATGAAATTTAATGTACTTACAGGTAATACAAATAATTTATCTAAATAATCAGATGATAATTGAGTTTGTTTCTGGGTAGATATATCAATTAAACGATAAGGAAATAATGTATGTGGTAAATCTGTAGATAGTTCTGGAGACCATATAGCCTAAGGGAGGGGGGAGGAGTAAGAGAAGGAGGAGGGGGAGGAGGGAGGGAGGGAGGGAGGAGGAAAATAAATACATATAATACCATAATTATGATAATATAATTTTACTTCAGGGAAAATTGGTGATTTAACATGAAATAAAGGTGTTCTTGCACCATGACGAAAGAATACTTGAACTTGTAAAAGTTTCATTGAATTATCCCTAAAACAAAAAACAAGTATTATCATCATATTAAATAAATAAACTTACATAATTAAATGTATTGCACAATTATATAAATTGAGAAAATTCTAAAAAGCTGAAAAATAGGGAGAGAGAAAAAAAATCAACGATAAATATTCATCAATTCGGTGAGACTATAATTTACGGATAACTTTTGAGCAATTCTAATGAGATCTTGAGAATTTTAACCTACATACTACGACTAAATGAGGGCTATAAGTCAGTCAGTCAGCTACAACGTAGGACCAGGCACATACATGCATCGGTCCAAGTTGCCATACCTCAACAACAAGATGAACACCAAATTCATAAAAGTTGTTAATTCAGAGGTGGTAATATATAAAAGAAAGATTGCATATAAAGATATAGTACAAGAAGAAAGAATTAGTTCGTGGAAAGAAAGATATGAAGCGATTTTAATCTCTTAGCCAGCAATATTTCTAAGGCATCTGTGGTCAAATACTAGTAGCTTACGAGTGTCTTCTACTCTTAATGACCATGTTTCGCTGCCGTAAATTAAAACAGAACAAACTGCCGCGCAGTATACTCGTCCTTTTATCGATAGACGGATATCTCGCCTTCGCCATAGGTGACGTAAGTTGGCAAAAGCCAAACGAGCTTTTCGAATCAGTGCTGGGATTTCGTCAAACAACAACCCATTAGGACTGATCAGGCTTTTAAGATAAGTGAAGTTGTCAACACGTTCGACTGCATCACTCCCTATCCCTAGTTCAGGTGTTGACGCAGACCAGTCCTGAAGCAACAACATGCATTTAGAGGGAGAGAAGAGCATTCCAAACATTCTGGCATTGTTGCCTAGTGCTACCAGAAGACTCTGAATTTTATCAGCGTCTCCATCAAACAGGACTATGTCATCACAATTGGTTGATCACTGGGTGGTGATCAATGTCATGCTTGTCTATTCCTTATTAGTGCAGATCGAATGCTATCGATCATGTTGCAATGTGGCCACGAGTCTAGGTGACTCGACACTGCGGGCACTATGAATTGAGATTTAGATGGTGGTTGGAGGTAGTTAACAGGAAACACTGGACCCGGGTTTCGTGCTACTTGGCACTCGTCAGCAAGGTGTACGTGTAATCTTGAGGGAACTGGTGCTCCCTGGCGGATTCGATTTCGTGTCACCCAGCTTCACAATCAGAGCTATCCGAGTCGTGACTAACCTCCTTTAGGACTGAGATGTAATCACAATTGATTGAAGGAGAGATTGAAGGAGATCAATACCCGAAAATTCAGTTGACGAGAACGTTATTTCCATCAGTATGTTTGTGATGAAGTTAAACAAAAATGGAGAAAGTGGACAGCCATGACGGATACCGCTTGAGATTGCAAAAACAGATGACAGTTCGTCATAAGCTCTGACTCGACTAGTAGTGTTGGAGTAAAGAGCCTTCACAAGGTTTATGTACTTCTGAGGTACACCTTTCAATGACAGACAGTGCCACAGAATCTCGCGGTCTACGGAATCAAATAAAATGAGGGTTATAAACCAGTATGAGGAATTAAAATTATGATTTACAGTTGATAAATAGGGTTAGGAATCAAATATAAGGTTTTCACAACGAACTGATATCAGCTATTATATCAAAACTCTATTTAGTTAGATGAATTAATTAATTTTGAGCCAAAATTCAAGACCTATTATTATAAATCTGTTTGGTTCGTCCATAAATTATAGTCTCGTCAAGAATTCTTGGAAATATTATAAATACTATTCGGATAGATGATTTACATATATTTCGCCTAATCTCAAGTAATCTAAAACATAGTGTGATACATTACTCCCAAATACCCTGGTAAGGCCGAGAGTGGGGAGAGCCAGCCCTCCTTCTTGAAATCCTCTCACATGGACACGTTCATACAACCACTGTCAGGGAAGTCCTACTCAATGCCTTCTCGCGGAATCTCTGATGTTCACGAAATTGACAGGACGAAAAGCGAATGTCCGGTGGTTTAACCGGGTCGGTGGACTCAGAGGATTCACCAGGGGGGTTGGAAAACCCTGATTAAAAACCAATGATGCATATGGGCTCCAGAATCCTGAAGGAACAGATGGAGTATGAACCTATTGTTGGCCACTGGTTACCATGGGACTGCATCTGACGTTACTCCACTTCCTTGTGGATCAGATCTTTAGGTCAAAGACTCCGGGTATGCCCCTCCCCGCCAGCTTCGGTTTGAGCACCTGGACAGTATGTCAGCCCTCACAAAAATCGAATGATTTATGTAGCGCATATCTATTTCGTGCCTACTTGTATCAATGCTCATGTGTTTAGATAAATAAATATCAAATAAAATGTGATACCATATATAGTTAGTCGAGTGAAAATAGAAGCTTACTAGCAATAAATAGATCTATACGCTCAATATTAAATCACTTATATGCCAGAACAGATAATACTCTTCATATATTTGGAATTAAATAGCTTTAGATAGGTTTTAATCCTGGCTAATCATTCATATTTATTATGCAAAAGCTAATTATATTGCTGTCTTGTCTATGATACTATATATCTGGTAGGTGGGGGGCAGTTAAACGCTCAGTATTTAAATATTTAAAAAAAATCATAGTGTAAATAGCCGGTGTTTAGAAAAGTAATTGAAGTTAATGAAATGTTAAAGAAATAATGATATATATTAACGTATTTTGGACTATATTATATTCAATTGGAATGTATATGTTTTAAAGAGATTATTCTCATAAACTTAAACAAAATACTAGCTTTAGGTCTATACTCAGACCTAACTTTTACCAGATAATTTAACTTGATCACCAGTTTAAAAGTTTTACAGTTATAAGATCAATTTATCGCTATAACTAGGAATTCTTCATCTGATTTAAAAAAATACAAGAAAATTTTGTAAACGTTTCTATTATTAGGATTTTATTTTTTGTCTCGATAAGGATTTGTATAATTAGTCATAATATTCATGGAATTTCAATCCTAGTAATATTCAGAACCGATACAGATATACACATTCATTATTCAAACAACAAGGATTGTTTTAAAAATTAACTAGTTTTCATTTTGAATCGTAACAAGTATATTCACTGGGATTCTAATTTGTTATTTAGGTGAGTTCTCATGTGTAACCCAGGAAATGATAAAAAAACTGAATTGTATATTGAGATATTTCAATCATAAGATCAACGGAAAGACAAACAGTAATTGTTTTACTTGGGCAAATGTTATGTCCTATAACCCGTCAAAAACAGCACGTGACAAAATCGTTAATCAAAACAACGACTTGTATGACCTTGCTCCACTGCTTCGTAGATTAGATCTCCACTGCTTCTTTGGCTCCAATTTCAGCTTGGTAATCATCAGGTAGGATATGAGGTTATATTAGCTCCTCCCTTGGTTCTTACCTCTTTCACTGACCTTCTGAATTTTTTAGTGATACACTTATAATTGATATGGTTATCTGTAGTGTGATCCGGTGAAACCCATGTAGCTTTGTGTATGCATTTGTGAAGGAATATGGTAGCACCTATAACCATTTTTTTGAATGCACACAAATGTCTCTTTATTCTCTTTATTTTCTCCCAGCCCAGTCAGTCAGTGACGTAGAACTTCGTACGCACGTATATCAGTTCAAGTTGCCATACCACATTAGCACAGAGATGTAGTTGTCGATTTAAATCCCGTAGTGGTAGAGTTAGTAAGAGTATAAGCAGTAATCGGAAACATTAGGGTTTGGAGATGTTATTTAAAGGGTATAATCCAGTGAAATAAATTTGGAAAGAGAAAAAAAGAAACAAGGAGGATTCAGGAGATTAGAATGTGGGAGAACACAAAGAATGGATGCACCTGCGCCACCCAGCCCATGTCGCCCATGTTATCTTATTGTCAGTTGTTGTCCATTCTAACTTTGTCGTTTAGGTCTACCATCAGAATGGTAAAGTTCTTTCCTGAGTGCATCTCTGCGATCGATTGCAGCCTCTCGTAAAACCGGTCTTTGTCATTCTCATTGTTATCATTGATAGGTGCATAACACTGGATAATATTAATTGTGATCTCCATCACTCCTGCTTAGAAGAATGTTTTGATAATTCTGAATCCATGATTCCCATATTATAGGTGCTTTTCGTGCTTCAATGAACAGCAAAAGTGTTGACCATACAGACATTCAATGACCGCCCCAAATATTTCGATCCTCATATATCTGATCGCGACACTTAGAGTCGACTGTTTGAATCTCATAGGGAAGATCTGTTATTACCGAAATAAATTTGAAGCTATACTAAGTTGGCTGAAATTGTTGCAGGATCATTTATTAGCTCACAGTATGTACCAAGATTACGATTCGCCACATACGCAAAATTTACGATGACAGTGAGTGTTCAGATAATTAAGTGATAGGCAGGATTATTTTTAGAAGTAAAATTTGCTCATTATGTAGAAGAAAATGAAAGTATTTATGAAAATGAAAGTACGTTTAACTAAAGTCCAAATAGAGCACTTTATGAGGCTAAAAATAAAGAACAGAGATCAATGCGAACATCAAATAGATCCTAGAAACAAGCTGTAAACCTTAAGAACCAGAGAATAAATAAAGATTTAAAAACCAAATATAAAGTACAGGTGTACAAAGACGGAAATAAAAGAGGGAAGTTCTAGCTATTATTCATATCAAAAAATGTATTCCGGCAATAATCTACTTAACCTAGACTTTTAATCTTACTTCGAGTGAGCACTTCACTTTGAGTTAAAAACAGGAACCTTACCATGAATTCAAGCAACAACATTCTGGACAATTGAATTTCCAATTACAACCGGAAAACTCAATACGTGATATTTCAGTTATAGAGATTTAAAATTAAGATTTCTTTAAGGTTCAGCACAGAACAACAACTGAAACTTTAAAACTAAATTTATTTCAAAATCTTAAAGCGAGAACATTTTTAATAACGAGAAAACAAGATAAAAAAACGAAGCATTTTTGAGTAACTGATGCTGACTGATGAAAATAATTCTCTGGACATGGCTCCGAGAAAACCCTATTACGAAACGACTTATGCTAAGCAAAACCTCCTGCAGTTAAAGATTACTCAATGAGCTGAGTATTTCGATGTGATGTCTTAAAACCTTTATCGAGACGGCAAAATCGATATCATCTTTTCATATATCATGATAAATCCCCAGCTTCACTTACAATTTGTTCTTATTTAACACAGCTACGCATTGAACAAAGGACGACCTGTTGTTTCAAATTGTTTTGTAGCTAAAAGAGAGATTACTAAATACTATAATACTTTAATATGTATCTGCGATGTTTCTATAAGAACCATAAAACATCGCAGATACACACTTGTTATAATTGAACATTATATTTAAGGGATAAACATCTTAGAAATAGTAAAAGACAGAAAAGAGCAGAGACGTTAAGAATAAAATCAAGTAATCATGCTGATAACATACCGAATTGTAAGTAACTTACGATTGAAATTTGCGATTTAAAATAGAGGTTGTGACATTATCTTAAAATTCAGACAAAATAACGTAGATATTTATATCGAATAAGGGGCAAGACGATATTTTTTAAAAATATTTGGCGACAGAAAAGTACCTTCAATTCACAAACACAAACGGCATAAGTGTCACAAATTTATAAGACCAGCAAAGGAACTAACCATAGGCTCATGAGCGTAAGGTGAAAATAGTTTAGAAGGAAGCGCTGAAGCCACGACCTTAGAAAGAAACCAATGCCCAATATTCTAGATAGGACAATAAAAATCCACAGTTATATTCGACCTTGCACCATGTTGCTATGAAAGATGTAAAAGAAGCGAAAACACATATATACTTAAAGTAAAAATTAATGGTGTCGTCTTCATAGTTTTGAGACGGAAAAAAACTATTAATTTAAGACTAGTACTTTCTGATCGCAAAGTCCTAATTTTTAATGACTTAATTGTTGTATACCGAAATCCTTATTCATCGTGGTGAATATTTCGCGGTTCCTATAGTAAGAAAAGACTACTGTAAGCTACACGTTCTTTTTGCATACAACAGATATTGCACAATGGCTTCCATTCTCCAGAAAGCATCTTGATACAAATGCTTTCTGACAGCCATGAAAGAACTCAGGCGTTGTGAGCTTGACAAGATATGGTATACCTGTTTGTAAACTGTGAGTCTGTTTGTTTTTGCAACTTTGTATATCGATTTTTTACTTTAATTTTTATGTATTTTGATATTTTCTTGAAATTTGTAGTTTCTTTTGTAGCGGTGAATAAATCCCCAAACTAAATAGCTCTATAGGTTTTCGACATTGGATGCTGACCATATGTTTTAGTGGACTCATCTATCTGAAGGCGCTCGGTCATGCATCCGCACCAGATCACGTGCTGTCACGCTGTGCTCAACATCAACCGCAATCACTAGCCAGATTAGATCAGAGATTCCCGATATATTGGTTATCGCCAAATACACTCTTCCGATCTCCTCGACTCTGTCTTTTGATTTCTCTCGGTGGGAACAAAGCATATTAGAAGGTGCTACTGGTAGAAGCGTTGTCAATCACTGAATACCTGTATCATCCTCATTGGTGAGACCGTCGTGATCTGGTACACCTAATTGCAACTGTGAGTCTGTTCCTTTTTGGGATTTTTATATATTATTACCTTACTTTTTTTTAAACATTGTGATTTTTTTTCGTGTTTTTCCTTGGATATATATATATATTTTCCCCTCGTTCATTATCGTACTTCATATTTCATCATGGCTGAACAGACACCCAAAGTACTCAAGCTTAAGACTTTGTCCCCGCCTTCGTTTCAACTCATGCCTTTCTGGCCCGACAATATCGAAGCTTGGTTCTGCTACGCAGAAGCTGACTTTTCCGAGCACGGCGTGATCGACACACGTGCACAATTCCTCGCAGTAGTCAAGGCACTACCGCGCGAATTCAACAGGTACGTAACACCTAGTATGTTTACTAGTGATGTTTCCGATCCTTACGAAATCTTGAAACGTTCGATTCTTAAACGAGGAGACCTAACCGATCGACAAAGATTAGATCAACTCTTCAATAACATCGACCTGCAACACGGTTCTGCGACTGACATGTTGCAAAGAATGAGAGAAGTGATAGGTCTAAGGACTTTCGACGAAGGTCTATTTAAACAGCTTTTCTTGTCTAAACTTTCTCAAAAGGTGCAAGCGGTTCTGGTCTCGTTTCAGAACAACGCCTTAGACGAGCTAGCTGCATCTGCCGATCGTATTTTAGAAATAACGAAATCGTCTACTTTAGAGGTATTTTCCGTCAAAGAAAAGCCTCACACGACTCAGAATGACATAACCGAGTTATGTCATACACTCACGCGTTATCTTAATCTTCGTAACGACCGTAGTCGCTCACGCAGTCCACGTAGAAGCATTTCGCGTAAACGATCTGTCTCTAGACGACGAGAGACGGATAACCCTGACTGGTGCTGGTATCATAACCAGTATGGAAAATCTTCCAGAAATTGCAGAAAACCCTGCAATTTTCCCAACACGAAAACGACTGACTCGAAAAACAACTCGGGAAACTTCTAAGCCGGCACGCGTTAACGGCAACCGTAGCCGGCGAACATAGCCGTCTGTTGTACGTCACAGATGTGACAACGAGAGTTCGCTACTTCGTCGACACTGGCGCAGAAGTTAGCGTTCTCCCAGCAAATCATAACGACCGGCTCCACGAATCAACTCTAAACTTACAGGCGGCAAATGGAAAACCGATCGCCACGTATGGCAAAAGGTACATCTACCTGAACGTATGTTTACGCAAACCCATTCATTGGATTTTCGTTGTTGCAGATGTTTCTATGCCAATCATTGGTATGGATCTTCTACAACACCTTAATCTAATCATCGACACGCGCAAACGGAGGCTAGTAGATGGAAACACTAAATTATCCGTTTGCGTAACTTCCTTTTCTGGTTGTAGATTATCCCCAGTCACAGTTAAGCATATGATAGACCCACTCTATCAACCACTACTCGACAAGTACCCTGGGATACAGAAAACTCAACCGAAACTACCGTGTGTAACCAGCAATGTTACACATCATATCACGACTAAAGGACCACCTGTATTCTCTAAAACACGACGACTAGCTCCGGAAAAGCTGAGGTTAGCGAAAAACGAATTCGATCACATTATAGACTTAGGAATCATACGACCTTCAAACAGCCCTTATGCATCTCCGTTGCACATGGTCCCTAAAAAGGACAAACGATTGGCGTCCAACTGGTGACTATCGGCGATTGAATGCAAAAACCATTCCCGATCGTTACCCGTTGCCTCACATTCACGATTTGACAGCTACCTTGAAAGGTACAACTGTCTTTTCGAAAATTGACTTGGTTAAAGCGTATAACCAAATACCTATGGCTACTAACGACATACCGAAAACAGCTATCATAACTCCTTTCGGACTCTATGAATTTTTGCGAATGCCGTTCGGTCTAAGAAACGCTGCGCAAACATTCCAAAGATTCATAGATGACGTTTTTCGAGGTCTCAACTTCGTACATGCGTATGTTGATGACTGCTTAATCGCAAGTCCGGACAGAGAATCACATCTCAAGCATCTGGATCTTGTTTTCGAACGATTACAAAAACATGGCATTACTGTAAACGTTCAGAAATGCCAATTCGGAACCGACTCGTTAGATTTCCTAGGACACACTATCGATGCTCAAGGCATTCGACCTCTTAGGAACAAAGTGACGGCCATTCTGGATTACCCAGAACCGACCAACGTCAAGCAATTACGCACGTTTAACGGCCTGGTAAGTTTCTATAGACGCTTCATACCGAAATGCGCATTACTTATGAAACCTCTTACTGACCAACTTCGTGGAAATGCGAAATCCATTAATTTGGACGACACCACACGAAAAGCATTCTCCACAGTTAAGGAACTGATCGCTAAAGCAACAATGCTCGCACATCAGGACACTGAAGCATCCATTGGTATCGCAGTAGACGCATCCGACTCGGCAATCGGAGGAGTCTTACAACAATGGGTTAACAACTCCTGGCAACCCTTGGCATTCTTCTCTAGACGGTTGCTAGACACCGAATCAAGATACAGCACATTCGGTAGGGAACTCCTAGCTATGTATTGTGCTGTACGGCATTTTCAACACTATATCGAAGGCCGTGAATTCACTCTATTCACTGACCATAAACCGCTCACTTTCTCGTTAAGCTCTCCTTCTGACAAGTACTCTCCCCGTGAGTCTCAACAACTGGACTACATTTCGCAGTTTACTTCAGATATTCAACATATTTCTGGAGCAAACAATGTAGTTGCAGACGCGTTGTCTCGAATAAATTCCTTGAACAGTTTCCAAGGAATCGATCTTCTTAAACTCGCCCAGCTTCAAAAAGAAGACACTGATCTTCAGCAAGAGTTATCGTCCACAACCCTTAAACTACGCATCAAACAGATGGGAACAGGTAAGGAAACCTTACTTTGTGACACATCTACAGGTAGAGATCGCCCAATCGTCCCGAAACATTATCGACGCAATGTCTTCAACACATTGCACAAACTTTCTTATCCAGGTGTTCGTGCAACCATCAAGCTCATAGCAGAACGTTTTTGCTGGCCTGGTATGAATAACGACGTGAGGGAGTGGGCACGCTCCTGTGTAAGCTGCCAAAAATATAAGGTCATCAGACACAATAAATGTCCCTTAGGCTCATTTAAAACTCCCGATGCTCGTTTCGACCATGTTCATCTGGATTTGGTAGGACCTTTACCAGATTCAAATGGATACTCTTACCTCTTAACCTGTGTAGATCGTTTCACCCGATGGCCAGAAGCAGTACCTATCAAGGACATCACTGCTGTAACAGTGGACCGCACCTTCGTCGAACGATGGGTAGCAAACTTCGGTTGCCCTTCAACCATCACTACAGACCGCGGACGTCAGTTTGAGTCTGAACTTTTCCGTCGTCTGACCACACTTTTAGGGAGCACTCGTTTCCGAACGACCGCCTACCACCCACAAGCAAACGGGTTGGTAGAACGCTTTCACCGACAACTAAAAGCTTCACTATCAGCTGCAAACGTTTCACAGTGGACCGACGCTCTTCCACTCGTTTTACTAGGTATCCGCAATGCAGTGAAAGCTGACATTGGATATACTGCGGCTCAACTCGTTTATGGAACGACACTTCGACTTCCAGGAGAATTCGTGGATCCTTCATCCTCTTCAATGAGCATGGATCTAACCTCCTACACGAACAGGCTTACAAACGCAATGCGTTCAGTTAAACCTGCTTACACTCGACCTCAATCAACTGATGTTTTCATTCAACCTGACTTACGATATAGTACACACGTTTTCGTTCGTCGAGACTCTCATCGACGACCTTTCGAATCAGCATACGAAGGACCTTTCAAAGTTCTTCAACGCGAACCGAAGTACTATATAATCGATAAAAACGGAACCAACGATAGCATCAGCATCGATCGCCTCAAAGCAGCGTATTTAGAAGGAAATCCTATCTACGTGGATTTTCCTTCGATACAATTGAACGACACGACTCCGACACTTATAATGCCTCATCCGACAACCAACACACACGATGATACTTCGACAGTATCCGAAAATAAACTTAAAACGACGCGTTCTGGAAGAAGAGTGAGATTTCCAGAACATTTAAACGACTATTGCACGTAAGGCACTTCTCGACATTTTCTATATTATTAAAAAATAATTTTTTTTTAAATAGGCTTATATATTTTCATTTCTATTTCAAAAAAAAACAAAAAAAACGATTTTACGAGT